GGAGAGGTCTCAGGACAACCAGCAACTTGGCAGACACAGATCCAAATAGGTTTGCAAGCTGCTATGAGGCAGATAATTAAGATAATGGTTATAATAACATGTGACAAGCAGTTTTGTCGTTAGACCCAGACAAAAGACTCAAGACTTACAAAGGTCCTACATTTCTCAAATCCAAAAGAATAAATTCATCAAGGCACAATGGATGTTGTCTGAAAATACATCAGTCTCAAGGGGCAGGGATGTTCAAAAAGTTATTTGCAAAGGGGAGGGGGCCGTGGCTATGTGGAGGATACCGACCCCGAGATCTACGGACATCTCAGAGGGAGATCTTGAACAGGGAGGAGTAAAGAAGACCACGGACAACTAGAGGTAGACTGGTTGCTTTGGGGTAGAGTGATAAGACAGTGACCAATCTCCGTGGTGAAAATCTCACCTCAGGAGCATCCTCCAGAGAAGCTGTCATGAATTCTGATACTTGAGGATGGGCCAAAGTAGAGGGGCCCAGGGGATGGAGGTGAGTCTGAGTCAAGTGCTGTCCAGCCACATCAGTCCAGCCACTGAATAGGAGATGGGAAGCCAGGAGCAATTTATTCATTTTGAAAAATCTATTGTTTTCCACGAAATTTATATTAGTATCTATCCACATGTATTGTTAGATTGCTTTATGGCTACCCCAAAATACATAGGCTTCAAAAAATAACAGACATTTACTATTCTCACAATTTAGGGGACAGTAGCTGGGGGGGGTAGCATCAAGAGGTTAGCTGGGGTTGAAATCATCTGAACACTTGGCAGGAGAGAGGACTTCCCTTCTCCATGTTGGCCATGCCCTGGGAGGCTTCTCCAAAACATAGCAGCTGCCTTACCCTCGGAAAAGTGACCCAGGGTAGACAGAGGCAGAGAGAGGGAGCTATCATTTCTATGACCTCACATTGGAGTACAAAAAATCACTTTTAGCATAGTCTGTTTATTAGAAAAAAATGATTAAATCCAGAGTGTTTTTAGGAGACTGGGAAGAAATAGGCTCCAATTTTGAAGGAAACCATATCAGTGAAGATTTGGATGGTATTTAGCAGTATACAGGCATTCCTTGTAAAAATCAATGGCATTTATCTACGTAATTTATTCAATATTTTACCTCTGAAGACAGAACTGTTTCTGTTTTCCCATCTCCGACATTTACAAAAAAACCTATTCATGTGAAAAAGACAGGACTGTGGAGTCACCAGCATGCCTTTTGGGAGAAGAGCTATATTTGCTGGTGAAAGTTCTTGATTCAAAGGTAAAAAGGCAGAGCTTCTGTGGGCTTATGGGATGACTTTGAAGTTTGCTTTGGGGCCAAATGAGAAGGTGGGAGGGATGAAAAAGAGAAACAGAGGGAGTGGAAGGAGTAACACAGAGATGGTAGAAGACGGTGTTTTCCTTCCCCAGACTTAAGTTAAACTCCCCCAATGGACAAGGTGAAGAGTAGGGCTAGGCCTTCTGTCTGGGCTGGGTTGAAGTAAACTAAGAAATACATGTGACTGTGGGGAGTAAATGAAGAGAACTAGGAGGAAGGAAGCTCATGGAGTTTGCAGAATGTGGTAGGTGTGGAGTGGCCATGATGGAGCAGGGAGGCTCCCAAGGCCCCAGTCAAGAACCCAGGTCAAGGTCAGCAGCATCTCCAAAGGCCAGAGAGGATCAGCTGATACATAGATGCCCTTGATTTCCAGAAGTTCTTCTACTTTGCTGAGTCAAAGGTATGATCAGAATATTCTTTAGTGAATTTCTGCTTCTGGTGCTAACTGCAGAAAATGTTGGAAAGTAACTATGGGGATTTCTTAAATTGAAAGAAAATATTTTATTTAGCTGGGAGTGGGGTGAGGTATAGCTTGAAATATGACCTTACTTACTGTTCACATTGTCTACATTGCTGTCTCCACACTCCCTCTGGGATCTAAAAGGTCTCCAGCATTTAGGAAGCTCTGAACTGCTGTGGCTTTTATTTTTTCTGTTTTAGAAGCATATTATTCTAATATTATAAAATCCTGGCCAGGACTAAATGAATGATCCAGAACAAAGGGTCAACATGACTTTCTATCTCACTTAGTTTGAAAACCCACTTTGAGAAGCTAAATGCAAAATGACCTTCCTCAAAAAGCCTTTTCTGTATTTGGAGTTTTAAATAATTTTTTATTCTGAGAAGACAATAAATGTTCCTGAATTTCATCTTCTAAAAGCTTAATTGACTTCTCTTTAGTAGTAGAAAATAAGTACCTGATGGCTTGTTGCCTGCCTGTCCTGGACACCTACTTCTGTGAGGAATCTAGTCCCCAGTATGCTTGTTCTAGGAACCCTGGACAGAAGCCACGTGTAATTTAACATTCTGTACAAAGCTAGCGACTAAGAACACACTATTATTGTTTGGAAACATTACAAGGACACTAATCTTTTTCCTTTCTTTCTTTTAATCTTAGCTTTTGCAACTGAGGCTTAGGCTTTGTTCAACCTGTTTGGTTTTCTGGGTGGCAACTGCAAACTCAAAGTGGATTAAGTTAAGCTCACAGAGACGGACTATTTCCTGGGAGCATAGCCCCCGACTCAGGTCTCCTTGAGAATGTGGGCAAGTGGAGCTTTCTCTTCAGTTTGGACTTGAGTCTGGAGCATGAGAAGACGCCATTCAACTTCCTGTGACATTTTTTATTGCCATATCTTATTCTGGGGTTGGTGATCTCTAGAACTGAGACCCATTAGGAGCACAGAAATCCAGCTGCAGCTCGTGGGGACAGTCGTTCATTGACTTTGTTCCCAAAACAGTCTGTCACGTTCTCGATGAAATGCCAATACTTTCTATACACTATAATGTTACATAAAACAGTGATTTGTTTTTTTTTAAAGGATGGCTCATGGTCCTTTCAATTTACTCAGGTGGAGGGTTGGGGCTTTTTGTTTGTTTGTTTGTTTGTGGTTAATCACCCTCAGCTTTCCACCACACTGGCTCCTGTGTTCCGCTCTAGGCCTTATGTGACTCTCCTGCCACTTCAAATAAACTCTGCCCTTCTCTCCTTCAAAACTGTTTCATTTCAAATGACTTCCTTTGAGGCCTCCATAAGAGCACCTATGAGACTTACTTGAATGGCTGTGCTTCCTCTAAATGTGTATTTTCTCATCAGCCTAAGAATAACCATTTTTCAAAAATGATTTCTCCCCTCTCTTGTCTTGCCTCCCTCTCTTCTCTCTCATGCCAATATATTTTATGGCCTTCCCTGCTGCCCCCAGCCATGCTGCTCTCCTCTACTCAGCAATTTCTCAGCTCCTGCTACATGCTGTGATGGCCTTTATGCTGGAGATGCAAAGATGAAGAGCACAGAGCTCAGAGTCTGGAGAAGACACAAGACAAAGACAGAAAGAAGTCATTAACGATGGGGGTAGTTTGTTCTCTGTTTGGTGAAGTGCCGACATCAGTGTGGATAAAATACTCACACGCCAGTTGGATGGGAGCAGTGGACATTCATTACTGCACCTCCGGACAAGGACAAAGAGGAGGGCCGTCTGGGTACTATGGGGACCCAGCCAAGGTACTGTTAACTTGTGACTCAAAGCATCATGTCCTGGAATTTGCCCTCTCTGCCGCCTCCAAGCGAGCTGGCAGAGCTCCTTTGCTAAGGGGTCATGCTCTCCCTTTGGGCCACTGCAGGGGGGAATGGGAAACTGATTGAAGTCGTGTGACTCATATGCTGTTCTGATTACTCTTTACCTGCTCTTGTGGGGGAAACAAAGATCTTGCCTCCAAATCCCTTAAGGTCTATTTAGTAGGAAGGACCATTAGCAGGCACAGAAAAGTAGCAACCAAATAATTTTCGTAGCACAACCTATAAGCCTGCACAAATTGGTCTTTTGGGTACTGAAATTTTGTTGAACACAGAGACAGGAGAACTAATAAGCTGGTCATAGCTGCTTCCAGGGGAGGAGAGCTTAAATGTGGAGGATCTAATTGTTTCCAACCTTGGCTGTTGTAGGAGTATATTATGAAGAATCTGTTAATGCAGAAGTCTCTTATTACATTTTGGGCTACTTTCTCAAGACAAATGCCCCAACATATAATTACTGTACAATCAATCATGAGAATAAACATTTTTAGAGAGTGTGATAGATTGCCACGTAGTTCCCAGAAAAGATTATGTAAATGTGCACTCCTCTCTCCCGGCTATATATAAGGTGGCCACCTCAAAAACTAAGTAGCATCCATAACAGTAATTATGTTTTTAAAAAACATTTTCAACTTTAAAAATAATTTCAGTTTTTCTTTCCATTTCGTGATTACTAGTGATGCTGAACATGTTATCATATATTTATTAGTCATTTTTCTATCATCTTTTGCCAGCTAGCTGTCTCTTTTTGACTTTTGCTCCACTGAGCCCCTATACATGAGTTATATAACAACAGAACAAGGTCTGAACTGAGACGCTGTGTTATTTTATGACATTGGCCTGATAAAGGGTTCAGAACTGAAAGTTATGGTCCTTAAGACAGCTCACAAAGGTCTTGTCTGGATGAATTCTGAGTCAGGAGACAGTTCTGTAACTGGAGTGTGCTAGCATTTTTCCAGGAACGCTGTGCTGGGTACCAGCACCAAGGCTGCCTCAGGTCAGTGTGCATTTCACCTAAAGCAACCGGAGTGTTTGACCCACCAAGCACATCTTGCTTTTAAGTTTAATTTTAAAGACTAGTAGGATCATAGGTTGCATTCTAGTGTGGAGCAATATATATAAGTCTTTATGTAAATTTGGTAAAGCTCATTTTGAGATCTCATTTTGTGGGGAAAAAATAAAATTGTCTTTCTAGTCTCATATCTATTAAAACTGGGTACATAGTTACAAACCTGGCTTTATGCGAAATCTCAAAATAAACCTAGATAATAACAGAAGTTAGGTTTTTGTTTGTTTGTTTGTTTTCTTTGTTTTTGTTTTTTTGTTTTTTTTTCCAGTACTGGGAATCGAACTCACAATGTCGTGCTTGCCAGGCAGGAGCTGAGCCGCTGAGCTAAATCCCAGCCCCAGAAATTAGTTTTCTAGATTGTTAGATGTTCATGTTTAAGATATACAGGTATGATAATTTTTTATCTTTACTTTTATGTAACCAATTGAGAAAAATGTGTTTAGTTGTGAAATACCTGATACTTTTGTTTGCTTCTGTTGATTGTTAAGCTATTTTATGTTTAAATTCCGTAAAGATCATTGCTCTGCGGAAGCACCAGTCACTGTTCTGTTTCTTTCTTAATAATTTTTTTTTGTCTTTTTGAGACAGTGTCTTCTTTGTAGTTCAGGCTGGCCTTGAGTTCACTCTGTAGCCCAGGCTGGTCTTGAACTAGCAGTGATCCTCCTGCCTCAGCCTCCCGAGTGCTGGGATTACAGGTGGGCGCCACCATGCCTGGCTTTCTTAATAATTTTTAATGAAAAGAAATATAGGAAAAAGACGTAAAGATGAGGCAAAAATTATTACTGTGGACGATGACATGAGACTGTCACAGTGAATCTCATGCAAATCAAATGAGTGTGTAGAGATGAGTTTTAGGATGTGATGTAAGAGCCAGTTTCTTCACCTGATGTTTGATGGGATGATATCAAAAGATGATAGTTTTAATATTCAGGCATCAATGCATTTACTGTTCTATATATTTTAATAAGTGCTCTCAGATGGCATTTACCTCTCTGGAATATTTAGTTTTCTTCCAGCTAAATTAATAAATAGCGATGCTCTGCCTTTTCCATTCAAATGAGATGTGAATGGCTCTCAGTAAGTCCTGGTTTTTGAGTCACTTGGCCAGTGGGAAGAACTGGTTTTAGTGTGGAGTATTTCACACCGTGTTTGAAAAACCCAACGATGGCAGGAAGTGTCTCAGGAGTCACAGTGAGGGACAGATGCAGGTGGCAGAAAAAAACAGAACAAGGAAATGTGTGACTGCACACTGACCTCATTTTCTCCACCTATAAAATAAGTATTAACTTTAGTAGAATAAAGGATTAGATGAGGTGATATATATTAAGTGGTTCTCAAACTTTGATGTGTATCATAATCAACAACAAATTAATAATTACTAGAATACAGAGGCCCATATGCACTGAGAAAAGCAAGAGTTTCTGTTATATGTTGTTTTTGAATATTTCTTATACAAAGCATACACGCACAAATATACACTTAAAAATGTGTTAAAAACCCTTTGAGGCTGGAGATTTAGCTCAGTGGCACAGCGCCTGCCTGGCAAGCGCAAGGTCATGAGTTCGATTCCTGATACCGGAAAACAAAACAAAACAAAACAAAAAACCCCTTTGAAACTCTTCAAACAGATGATGCTTAAACGTGTTAGGAAAGTCTATTTCCAATAAGAATGGAACACACAATTTTAGCAATAAAATAACACATCAATTGAAACATTTCAAAACATCCATTTTTAAGATTCTCTTTCATGTAACAAATATCTTTTGAAAAGAAGCAATTACTCTCTCTCTCTCTCTCTTTTTAAAGTAACCTTTTCTTTTTATCAAGGGTAGCTGAAGTGTGCTTCTTCTATATAAAACAGTGTCTGGCCTGCAGTACTGAGTTGTCTCCAAATGGATCTTGCTCACATAATACTCTCTTGGGTTTGCTCTCTGTATTGCTTTCTCAATAGTCTTACTTAAAATAAATCTGGACCTTGACACTCACCCCTGCTAAAACCCTCCACTGAAGCACAGTTGGCTGCAGGATGAGTGCTAAACTCTTTAGAATGCAAAAAGCCCTTTGCAGATGTTCAGGGTCATTTGCAATCACTCCTGGTTCTGCATTATAGGTTTGTTTTCTGAGGCTCTCTGGGCACTGAGCATCCTTTAAGCCTCTGCCCATTGGCACATGTTGTGCTTCTTTGTTTTGAATATTCTTTCTGCTCTTCTAAGAAATTTCTCCTCATCCCACCAATACAGAGTAGGCATGTCAGAGTTTCCTGAGGGTCTTGCCCTGACTCCCACAACTAGAGATACTGTTCTTCACTATAACCACTCAGTCTTTCCACCACTAAAGTCATGATTTTGAGTTGCCATGGTCTGTTTCTCCCTGGACAGGAGCAGCTTGGGTGGCCACACCCACCTTTCAGTCCTAATACCTCGAATAGGGCCAAGTCAAAGCTCAGTACATGTTGTCAAATGAACAAATAAAATGGACAGATGATGGCATACCAAAAAAATATGTCATAACTGAGACTCTCTGTTTTACCTAAATGTTTTTATTTGCTTCTATGATTCAAGGAACTTGAATGAGGCCAGGTCATCATGGAGTATAGAGTGCATTTCCATTCTAGATTTTTCTAGCAGGAGAAAGCCCGATTCTCATGTTGGGTGCAGTTGTCTCAGTGTGAGTCATGCTGTTTTCAGTGATATGTGTGGTAATTAACTGCTGGGACTTAATAATGAGCAATAAGATCAAGTGATGACAGAACATTAATTTAAACATAATTCTTCAAAGAAGAAAAGATTTTTTGTCAAAGTTTTAAGTATTATTTATGATGGTATTAATGGTATAACTAAAAGTAATGGATTAAAATTAAGAAAGGAAAACTTTTAAAGAAAGATGAAAAGTCTCTAGACAGTGAGACCTACTAGACTGTGAAATAGACTTTCAAGCAAAGTGATGGAAACACTATCCTTGGAGACATTCCAAATACGGGGACAATGGGCTAGATTGCACTTTGCAGAGGAGAATTCTTTATAGGGGCGGGGTCAGGAAAATCCACTGAGAACCAGTTGTGGTCCTAGAGACGCCTTTAATTGAAAAGTAATAGAAGGATGCAGCCAAGATCCCCAAGTCCTGCAGACAGCATTAGATTTGGGAGGCAGGACACAGGAGGCAGAGTCATCCCAACGCACTCAGGGAGGTTTGCAGATGATTAGAGCTAAAGCCTGGCCACAGAGAAGAAGCTGAGCAAAGAGTCAGCCTCCATGAGGAGCAGCCCATTGAAGAGAAGAGCTTAGTCTGGATGTCCTAGATAAGAGGGAAACACCCTTCCTGAGCTTCAACTTTGCACTGCACTGTGGAATGCATATCTCACTGACAATCTCTCTACTCATGAACAGAATGGTGGGCTGGGGACCAGTGTAATTATTTTCTGTAATACCAGCATCTGGCACAGAATGCTTATTTGCTGAACACTTGTTGAAACAAGGAAGGAATGACTGGATAAAAGTTATGTAATTAAAGCTTTTACAGGAGGATACAAGATGCATTAAAAGAGTAGTTACAGTTAGGAAAATCTCCTGGAGCATGACACAGAGTCTTGCCTTCCAAACACTTCTTCAGGTAGAAAAACATGTGTTGTGGCACACACTCATACAAATGAGTGTCCCAAACAGTACATTCATCTTTATATGGCTTGAAATTATCTCTTGTATTTGATTTTGTTTTATTTAAATTCTGACTTGGATACACCACATTAATTATGTGACCCACTAATGCTACTGCATCACACAACCCGTCATCTGAAAAGCACTGATCCGGAGATCAAGAACAAAGCACTGTATATAATCAGATGAGACACAACAAGCAGGATACACTTGGGAAGAAATGTTGAAGTACAGCTTTTCTTATAGTGAGAAACTCACAGCACTAGACCAAGTAGTTGGACCCTAGAGACACAGTAGTTCAGGGGAGTATAGGTAGTACAACCTTAAACTACAAACTGACCCCGTGAGCCTGTCAGGACCTTTGTTACATGCATCTACCCCTTAACACACAGAGCTCAAAGCACGTTTAGGCAATTTACCAGAGAATTCCCCAAGAGTTGTTCTGAAGACTCAGACTGATGCCAGCATGTTGTAGAAAGCCCAAAAGAAAGTTGTTATTGTTGTTATTACTTTGGCAGAAAATATGTTATGGGCTTTCTCATGCAGGACAGGGTTGCATTGAATTTCAGGGTTGAACATGAATCCCACCAAGCTTTTCATCTTTCAGAATTTTTTGGTCCATGACACAGACTTTTCTTGTTTTCACAATTCCTTCTGGTCCAAGTCTCTTGGATAAAAATGTTTACACACTGTTCTGCTTTCTGTTGCTCTTCCCACTGACAGACACAGAAAACCATTTTGCTCTCTTAGCTTCCCCGTGGGCTGTTGATCTAATTCGCTCCTCCTTCTTAATAGGTTTATAATGTCCTCACTGGAATTCTTTTCTCTCTTGGCATGATGGTGAAAGGCCATCTTCCTTCCCTTGATCCCTTAGCTGACAATAATAGATCCTTTTCTTTTATTTTCTTTGCTTGTCCTTAATTGACAGTGTTAATACTCATAGGGATCCTTTATCCCTTTTCCTTCCTGGCAGTTTAAAAACCACCTTTGTTCACACCTCATTTGTCTGGCAGCATCCCCTTGGGAAGCCTTGCTGGCAGTGATGGGGCCCTCGGAAGCTCTTTTCCAATCCTGGCCTCCCCTCTGGGTCTTAATTATGTGTTTCTGAAAAATTCTCAGGTCTCTTGCAGCTTGTGGATGATGACACAGTGAGCTTCAGTTAACTGTCCTTTAGGAAAGGGGACCTTTGTAATCCATAGGGTTTGTGTGCTTAAAAGGGCAAAACAAAATCATCTTTATAGACATCAGGAAGTAGTACCAGTTCACTTTCTGAGCTCAGTGGAGACATAGATGATCCTTTGTGGCCTGTGTTTTGGGTCCATGTGTGGTGGAGAGGAAAGAGTAAGAATTTAAAGGTGGATGCATTGGGTTTGAGCCCTGAGTCTGCCACTTGGTATTTGTTCTATGACTATCTGCGCTACATAGACACTTGGAGCCTCAGATTCTCCACCTGAAAAATAAGTATACCTACTTTAGTAGCACAAAGGATTAAGTCAGATGATGTATATCAAGTGCTTAGCATGTCAGTTCTCAAATTTTGATGTATATCACAATCACCTAGAAATTAATAAAGAATTTAGAGGCCCACATGCATTGGATAAGATAAAGTTCTCTGTATTTCACCAAGAGTCCTGTGCAAGTCTGATAGATACCAAAGTCTGAGAAATACTAGTCTGTCATCTTGTAGACATTCAATATATGTTAGCCCTTTACCCCATTTTTATACTGGAAAACATTCAAAAATTTCAAGCAATTTAAAAGGTGTTAAGTTTTACCTAATCTTGAGTTTCAAAAGCCAGAAAGCTGGAAAGAAGAGAAGTTATGTGAAGAAAATCTGTTTTACATCTCCCCATCTGTAGCCCTAGAGGCCTCATCTTTCAGCTTAAGGTTGCAATACCTGAATGGTAATTGTCATTTTTGCATTTTGAAGAAAGGTAATACTGTAGAAATATGTAACTTTTATACATTGTTAAGTTAAAAGGTAAAATTCATCTTAGCTTTTTAAAAGTTTATTTTACTTTTTCCACAATTTGAACTTCTTACTACATATTTTTAGAATATGGCCTCTATTTTCTATTTTTGAATATGTCAAATCAATTTACGTTATTGTATTTGACTTTTTTTTTTTTTTTGGTACCAGGAATCAAACTCAGGGCTTGCACGTGCTAGGCAGGCATTTATACCACTGAGCTATATCCCTGGCCCATGTTATTATATTTGATAGCAGCATTATTTTATCTCTATCAGAGAATTTGTGACATCCTTACTACCCCCCTTTTCTTTTTCTTCTTCCTCCTTTTTCTCCTCTCCCTTATCCTCTTCCTCCTTCTATTTCTTTCTGGGCTAGGGATCAAACTCAAGCCTCACACATACTAGGCAACTGGCATACCCCTGAGATATACCCCAGCCCATTTTATCTTTTGAGAGAAGTTCTCACTCAATTGCCCAGGTTGGCCTTGAACTTTGAATCCTCTTGCCTCAGTCTCCTGAGTGGCTGGGATTAAAGGCATGTGTCACTGTCCCTGGCTAAATTTTTAATACATTTCTGGAAGTTGCATGTGAAGCACAATGAGGATATTGGATCCTTGTGGATATTAGACACAGTGGAGCCTGTCCATCCCCAGCAACTTTGCAGACCTTCTGCACTAAAGGAAAGACCCAGGGCATAACAGCTCACAAAAGTTTCCTTTTCTCTGCCCAGTGTGCAGACCAGAGAGGGAAACAGTGACCACTGGAGGGAAGATGGGAAGTGGCCCTCACCACAGACTCTGGTTCCTTTTCTCCTATGGAACAAAAGGCCTGAACCGCTGGGGAAGGACAGCAAAGCTCTTGTCTGCAGACAAAGGTAAGGACTCATCTCACCTGAGGCAAAGCCAAAAGACAAAACCTCTCTCTGCTTAGGAGGGATGTCTTGGTTACTTTTCTCTCATTGCTGGGACAAAATATCTGACACCCAAAATTAAGGAAAGAAAGGTTTATTTCGCTTACAGTTTGTGGAGGTTTCAGTCCATACTTGGCAGATTACAAGGCAGAGTGGCACATGACAGAGAGCTACAGCTCATGGTGGCAGAACACAGCAAAGCAACAAGCACACAACAGGGAGGAATGGCCTCAAGCACCCTCTTTCCTCTCCCTTACATATGCAAACTATCCACCCCAGGGCAGGTGTAGCTCTCAAACCCATAATCAAACTCTAAAAGCCTGCCCCATGGCCGCATGAGGCTTTGGGGGGACACCCAGACACAAACCATAACAAGGGAGTGCTCTTGTAAACTACAGCTGGCTTGTTCCTACTACTTTCCATTGACTTCACCCTTCATCATACTCAGGACAAGAGCCCAGAGAGAAAATTGGTTACACAATCATTTATGTTATTGCATTTGGTTTGCTGGTATCTTGTAGCTAGTTTTTGCATGTATATAAAAAATACTGGCCTGTAGCTTTCATGTGATGACTTTTTATCATTTGCTTTGTTGTTAGAATATTCTTGGCTTGAAAAAATAACTTGAGAAATATTCCTTGATTTTGTAAATTTTGTAAGAGTTTGTGGGGGTACATCTGGGAAGATGGTGGAGTGGTGAGCAGCAGAGAAAGAGCTTCTCTGAGACCTGGTGTCCAGACACTGGAATATAGCAACATGAAAAAGAGAAGAAGGAGGGAAGTGGGTTCTGGGATGCAGGAAGGATCAGAAGTAAAAATTGAAGCCTATGGGGAGAATAAAGAGAGGGATTTCAATAAAGAAGAATGAAATGACAGGCAGTGCTTTCTCCTTGAGCATAGACTCACCATGTGTGAGGAGTGGATTGACCTACAGATGCATGGTAACTACTGGTGACCCTAGAGGACTCCATGGAGAAATGCACCATTGGATACAGTGGACTGCAGTGGCTGGCTATGTTTAATGCTGAGATTATTACTGATTGTACTACTTTAGCCAAGGTGACATAATTGTTCTAATCAGTTGTGCTTTCTGGTATGCCAAGACTAAGATTGCCTAAGGGTCATAAACAGTACTATAAGACAGTGCCAAAGAAATGGGCTGAGCCAAGGAAGCAGCAACTTTTTATCCCAAATAAATGGATTAGCAGGATCTTACAATAAACTTAAAACCCAGAAGCCAGCTATAACCAGAAAACAACTCTGAGAAGTAGTAATTTCCTAAGGGTTTTAAATACTAGGAATAAAGCTACTCACCTAAACAATTTACAAGCATCATCTCAGGAATTAAACTAAAAACAATAGAAAAATGAGAAGACATGGAAGCAAGATGCAACCCAGACTTCCAGCTCACCAAAGGCCAACTCAGGGGGAAATGAGGTGGAACAATTTGAGATCCACCAGCCTAGACTCTCTGAAGTGGTGACAGTGGACATAAAGCAGATAAACGAGGCTCTAGAGAAAAATCAAATCAGAAATAGTTTCTCAGATAACTACAGAGATAGTGGCCATAAGGAAAGACATACTTCATGACTCTAGGAAAGATACAGGTAAAAAGAAAGTAGAAGAGCTTAGGGAAATGATGGAAATCATGAATATCCAACATAGGAAAGAAATTGAATCCAAGAAACAAATTCAAACTGATATCCAAGATATTAAAAATTCCTGAAGTATAGGCAGCAGATGAGCCAATGTAAAGACAGAATATCAGATATAAAAAACAGGATTGTGGGGGCTGGGGATTTAGCTCAGTGGCACAGCACCTGCCTGGCAAGTGCAAGGTCATGAGTTTGATTCCTGGCACCAGAAGAAAAAACCAAAACAAAACAAAACAAACAAATCAGGATTGTGCTTAGTGATCATGAAAAGAAATATCTTAAAGATAGTAAGGGACCATGAAAAATGAATCCAACACCTGATAGATGATGCAAAGAAGAATGACATAAGATTGATTGGAGTCAATGAAAAAGCAGGAGATAGCACAAATGACATAAAATACCTGTGTACAGAAGTAATAACAGAAAACTTCACAAGCAGAGAAAAAGAATTTGACATACAATGAATGAGGCATAGAGAATTCTAATTAGCCATGATAAAAAATACCCACACCAAGGCATATAAGAGTCAGGATTCCAGAAATTCAACACAAGAACAGAGTATTAAGAGCTATTAGAGAAAAGAAACAAATCGCCTATAAAGGAAAGCCCATCAGAATCACAGAAGGCTTCTCAACACAAATTCTCAAGTCAAGGAGAGGTTGGAGTGAAGTATTTCAAGACCTAAAAGAAAACAACCTCCAACCCAGACTGATGTACCCTGCAAAACTATCAAAATTGACAGAGAACTAAGATATCTCCATAAAAAGAACATCTGAGGAAATTCATGGACAACAAACTTGCACTTCAAAATGTTCTGAAGGGCATTCTAGAAAGTGATAACAAAGACTACAGCTCCATGAACCCCAACAGAATAAATCCACCAGTCAAGGAAAGCAATTAAACAGAGGAGAAAAAGGGGGAACCAACAAAAGAAAAATAAAATGACAAAAATAAGTCAATACATATCAGGTATAACCATCCACAAAAATGGTCTCTATTCACCAATCAAAAGAAACAGATTGGCAGAATGGATCAAGAAACAAGATGCAAAAATATGTTATATTCAAGAAACACATTGAATTCAAAAAGAAATTCATAGAACTGAATGTCAAAGGTTGGAAACAATTCTCCATGCAACAGAAACCCAGAAAAAAGCAGGGGTAGCTATTTTATTTGCAGACAAGTGGATTTCAAGCCAAGACTAAGAAATCCAAAGAGGTCCCTACATCCTTGTAAAGGGAACAATCCAAGAGTAATAGAAGACAGTCATAAACATATATGCATCAAACAGTAGTGCACAAAGTATATAAAACAATTATTAATGATATGAACAATCAAATAAGCATGAATATAATTGTAATGGGGTAACTCAATACCCCATTGTCACAAATAGACAGATCAACTAGAAAAAAAATCAGAAAAAAAAAGAAAAAAATCAGCAAGGAAATGTCAGAACTGAACCAAATTTCCAAACAAGTGGACTTAGTAAATGTCTAGAGAGTGTTATACCCCACAATATCAGAATACACATTCTTCTCAGGTGCACATGGAATATTCTTCAAAATAGACCACATACTAGCTCATAAAGCATGCTTAAGTAAATGCAAAGGAATTGAAATTATCCCATGCATAGTATTAGACCATAGTGCAATGAAATTGGAAATTAATGGCAAAAGAAACCACAAGAACTTCATAAACACAGAGAAAAAAAATAACACCCTCCTGAATAATCAATGGTTCACAGATGAAATTAAAGAAGAAATTAGACAGTTTTACAGTTAAATGATAATGCCAATACAATATGTTAGAACTTATGGACACAATGAAAGCAGTCCTACTATAGCAGAAAATGTCTCCTTCAGCCAGTATACTTCAGTTCTTGTCAGTTGCCCAGGTAACCTCCAGTTTACTTCAGTTCCTGTTACTCATGTTTCTTAGACTATCTGGTCACATTGTAAGTAGCAATCCCCAATTGACAAGCCATTCTGCCTTTGTATTTCCCTTGGCAACCCCCCAAAAATCTTCCTCCCTGAGCCTTTGGGGCCTGATACTTTGGGAATAAATCACTATCAGTGCCTGTGGACATTAAATAAATATGCCTCCAAATCTTGGGTGATGGTACTGTTTCTGTTTGCCACTGCATCTGGTGTGTCTGCTGGGAAGACCAACCATTCTGACTTCTTTGGTCATCAGCTACGACCCTCACAGATGGAGCAGGGACCTCTCTATGTCCTGACAGGAAGGCATGCCCTTGAGATCTCTCAAGTCCCCTTGGAGGTCTGGAGGAGGATTCCTAGCTCACTGTTCAGGAGGCTCACATCAGACCCAAAAGGAAGGACATAGTCTGCCTGCCTGCCTGATTTTAGTAAGACCCCTGGGGGCTCCAGTTTCAGTCTGTGCCTATTCAGTTTAAGCAGAGAAAGAGCCTGATCACCTCTCATTTATTAGGCCTCCTCCTGGTTTTGGGGAGGGGATGTTTTAACCTCTGAATTCCTGTTAAATGATTGTGTGAGTGTTTGTACAGATGATGAAAGCAATAGACCATTCTGTACTCCATGGTGAGGAGGAGGGGCTCCTCTCCAAGCTATGGAGCTTAACTGGGCCCCAACCTACAGTTTCATGGACACATCCATATTGGGGGGCAATCTATGATGTTCCTGGCAGACAGGCAACCTTTTGCTCCTCTGTTAAAAGGTTACCATCACCAGGGAAACTGGGACTCTTGCCTCTTGCCCCTTCTGCCAGGGATGAACTTGCTCCCTGGGAGGAGTTCTCTCCAAACATGAATTCCTGTATAAGCCAGTCTCCATACCTTTTCTCAGAAAAGACTTCCTCTCCAAGTTAAAAGTGACCATCACTAAGCCAGTCAGCCTCCACCTCACTTAACCCTGTACTTTGAAAGTTAGTCCTAGCTTCCCTGAGAGGAAGAGTGACACCTGCATCAGCCTGAAACAGATTATCACAATCCTGAAATGCTAAAAACCCTCCTCCCAGAAGTATGAGCAAAAACTTGCCTCTGGGCCTGGCCATCCACCATGCTCCTGTAGTGAATGCACTCTGCCACCCCCCTAGGCTGTCAAACTGCTGAAATATACTTCTGCCTATTAAAAAAAAAACCAACAGTGAGAAATATCATTCAGTTCAGGTTCTCTGAGATGTGGCTACTACCATGGTAGTCCTCCATCCTGCAGTCAGTCTTGTGCCACCCACAGCCTGCTAGTACCCCTTTCTGGATCTAAAGAATGCCTTGTTTGGCCTTTGGTTTTCTCCTGTCAGCCAACCCCTCTTCACCTTTAAATGGAAATACCACTGTTCCCTCTCTATAGCTCCAACCTTGGGAATTCCAGATGCAACTGACATTCAACTTATTTGTTGATAAATGACAACATGTGGCTTTAACGATGCTTACTCAGACTATTAGCCCCTAGGAGGACCCAGTGGTGTACTGGTGCAGATACTTGGATCCAGTGACTAAGGGCTACCCCCACTACCTCCATGCTCTAATAGCCACTGTCCTTGTAATCAAGAAAATGGACAAGCTCATTTTAGGCTGAGACCTAGCTGTCTAGGTGCTACATACTATACTAGACCTCCTGAATTACTGTGGCTCCAAGAGCCTAGTCATTCATTACCAGGGACTCTTCTGCAAATCCACAACTGACTTGTGGTGATAAAATCCTGCCACATACCTGCCCACCAAGCTGGGCCCACCAGACCATGACTGCCTGGCACTAACGGATGAAATGTTCTCAAGCCAATAAGACTTAAAAATGAACCCCCTGACAGATGCTGAGTATGCCCTGTTTCTGGATGGGAATAGCTCTGTTAGGAATTGAGTCCATCAGGCTAGATATGTGTGGTCACCTTAGACAAAGTTATTTTGGCTGAGGCTCTCCCATAGGGATGGTTTACACAGTGAACTGAATGATGGGCCCTCATACAGGGCCTCAGTTGGTCTGTAAAAGAAAAGATCTACTGCTTCCCATTGTTGTCTGGAAACCCACCAAAACAGTAAAACATCCTGAACCATGAAAAAAAAATCCATGACATCCCATTCCTGGCCAGCATATGCTACACTGTCTATCAATGATGCTGAACCTGCACTAAAAATAATCTAGTCCAGAGGCCTAACCCCCTACAGAGACTGACTGAGACATTGCCCTTCAAAACACTGAAGTAAAGTTTTATAAGGGCTGCAGATATCTATTGATGCTTATTTTCACCTATTCAGGTTGGCCCAAGACATTCCCTATCAATACCAAGCACATATGTAAGCTGAAATGAAAGCAAGGCCTCAGGTAAGCATCCCGAAAATGAACAAGGATCAAGGGGAATAATGCACTGAGGTCCTGGGAACAGTGTCCTCAAGATTCAGCTGTGCATGGACTGGTCAGCATCCAGAGTGACCAGAGCAGACCTTGGGTGTGCTGTGTCTTCACAATGAGTCCTGGAGGAGCTGTCTGGTTCAGGTAAACTCTCAACAAGCATATAGATGGGTTTCTTTAACTCTGATATTGTATTGTTCAACTTGGGTTTTCTTCTCTGCTTTCCAGCTAGCTGTGGTTTTTGCCTTAGCTCTATGGACAATTGGGTTATGACCTTGGTGAGGGCCCATTCTAGGACCACTGACAACCTTAATATTACTGCTTCTAGTTGGGCCTTGTATAATTAATTGCCTTACCTGGTTCAGCTCAGATCACACACAACATGCCCAGCAAAGATTTGCTGGGAAACTAAAAGATGGGTAAAATATAGCAGAAAATTTCCCCTGACAGACAGTATACTTCAGTTCCTGTTAGTTGCCCAGGGTAACCTCCAGTTTACTTCAGTTCCTGTTACAGTTTCTGTTACTTCTGTTTCTTAGAAACATTTGGTCACTGTGATGCATGGCTGGTCACTATGATGCACATTGTAAGAAGCAATCCCCAATGGACAAGCCATTCTGCTTCTGTATTTCCCTTTGCAACCCCATAAAAACCTCACTCCCTGAGCCATTGGGGCCTGATAATTTGGGAATGAATCACTATCAGTGCCCATCAACATTAAATAAATTTGCCTCCAAATCTTCAGTGTTTCTGTTTGGTGCTGCATTACAAAGGAAATTTAGTAGTGAATATCCATATCTGAAAAACAGAGTGAGGTCAAATAAGCAACTCAGTGTTGAACTTCAAACTTCTAGAAAAGAAGAGCAAGTTAAGGCCAAAGCTCACATGAGAGAATAAATTAGAAATATCAGAGCAGAAATCAAACAACACAACAAAGAATCAATAAATCAAAGAGTTGTTTCTTTGAAAGATTAAATAAAATTGAAAAACCCTGAGCCGATCTTATCAAAAAAGGAAAGAACAGATTCAAATCCATGTAATTAGGAATAAAAAGGGAGAAATCACCACAGATGCTGCAGAAATCCAGAAGATCATCAATACCTACTGAAAGAAGCTGTATTCTAATAAGATAGAAAACAAAGAAGAAAAGAACAGGTTCCTAGACACACATGAATTACCAAAGCTGAATCAAGAAGATACAAAAATTGTAAATAAATCAATATCAGTCAATTAAATTAAAAGTGTAATTAAAAACATACCAACAAAGAAAAGCCCAGGCCCTGGTAGATTAACTGCTGAATTCTATAAGAAATTAAGGAAGATCTAACACTGCTACTTCTCAAACTCTTCAATAAAATTGAAAGGGAAACAATCCTCCAAAATTCATTCCTGGAAGAAAGCATTACCTTGATACCAAAACTGAAAAGGATCCAATTAATAAAGAGAACTATAGGCCAATCTACCTAATGAATATAAATGAAAATCCTCAATAAGATTGAAAATGGCAAGCAGAATGCAGCAAATTATCAAGAAGGTTATAGACTATGATGAAGTAGAATTCAACCCAAGGATACAAGGATGGCTCAACATACATATATCAATAAATATAATACACAATATCAACAGAGCCAAGGACCAAAAAAATGATCATTTCAATAGACACAGAAAAAGCATTTGACAAATATCCATTCATGATAAAAACCCTGCAGAAAATTTGAATAGACCGTCTTTATCTGAATTTGATAAAAGCCATCTATGACAAACCAACAGCCAATGTTATACTAAATGATCAAAAACTGAAAGCTTTCACTCTAAAATCAGGAATAAGACAACGATGTCCACTATCAGTATTCTTATTCAATATCATTCTAGAAATGTTAGCTAGAGTAATTAAGAGAAAGAAATAAAAGGAATAAGAATACAAAAGGAAGCAGTTAAATTATCATCATGTGTGGATGACCTGATACTGTACATAGAAGACCCCCAAAACCTCACCAAAGGACTTCTATACTTAATAATCAAATTCAGTAGCACAACTGGATACAAAGTCAATGTTCAAAGACCAGTACCCTTCCTGTACACAAACAACAAACTCACTGAGACAGAAATTAGGGAAACAGCACCTTCCACAGTAATATCTGTTATGGTTTTTGTCTAGATGTCTCCCCAAAGCCTCGTGCAGTCAAGGGAGTGGACTTTTTAGAATATGTGCTGCCAAAGTGAGCACAGGGGGTGGACTCTTTGGAGGTAACTTAATCTAGAATTTGTGGTTAAATCAAGGTCCAGTGCTCGAATTAAGGATTTGAGTGCTATGCCCATTCTGGGGTGAGTAGCCCAAATATAATGTAGGGGACAGAAAGAGGCTTATTTCTTGCTCTCTCTCTCCTCTCTTGTTTTCACTGTTGTCCACTGCCATGAACTGTGGCCCCTCTTCCATGTGCCACCCTGCCTCAGGGGCAGCCAATTATGGACTGAAACCTCTACAAACAGTGAGCTAAATAAACCTTTCCCTCTTTAACTTTGGGTGTTGGCTATTTTGTCTCAGCAAATAGAAAAGTAACTAAGACAGCATCTAAAAAATATGAAATACCTAGGAATCAATCTGATGAAGGAAGTGAAATCTTTATGTTGAAAACTAGAGTACTCTGAAAAAGAATATCAAAGAGAATTTCCGAAAATGGAAAGATATCCTTAGTTCTTCAGTAGGAAGAACCAATATAGTGAAAATGGCCTTACTTTCAAAATTCTTACACAGATTTAACGAAATCCCAATCAAAATTCCAAAAGCATATCTCACAGAATTAGACCAAAAAATCTTAAAATTAATTTGGAATCAGAAGAGACATAGGCAGCAAAAGCAACAAAGGCAAAAGCAGCAGGCATTACAGTCTCCAACTTGAAATAATACTACAAAGCTACTGTGATAAAAATAGGACTGTAAAGACAAAAACAAACAAATAAACAAACAGACCTCAGGATCAATGCACAGATTAGAAGATGCAGCAACAACTCCAGGCATACTCAGCCACTTTATCCTTGACAAAGGTGCAAAACACATTCACTGCTGAAGATAATAATAAATGGTGGTGGAAAAATTGGCTCTGCACATGCCAAAGATGAAAATTGGACCTATATCTTTCACCATGCACTAAACTAAATTTGAAATAGATCAAAGATCTAAATATTAAGACAGAAATATTAAATCTGCTGGAAAATAGAATAGGTAAAACTCTTGAAGACATTGGTGTAGGCAAAGACATTATAAATAAAACTCTGCTCAGACAGGAACTATCACAAAGAATCAATGACTGGGATTTCATCTTATTAAAAAGCTTTTGCATAGCAAGAGAAAGCAGCAAAAGAGTGAAGAAACAACCCACAGAATGGGAAAAATTTGTGCAGCTGTTCCTCAGACAAGGGACTACTGTCTAAAATATATTTAAAAATTCAAAATGATCAGTTCCCCCCACTTTAAAAACCCAATCCAAAAATGGGCATCTGAAATGAATAGATACTTCTCAGATGAAGAAGGAGAAATGGCAAATAAATATATGAAGAAAAGCTCAACATTACTGGTCATTCAAGAGATGGAAACTTAAAAATGCCAAGATTCCATATCACATCAGAAAGAATGGCTAATATCAAGAAATCAACAAATAACAAATGCTGGCAGAGCTGTGGGAAAAAGAAACCATTTTCCACCTTTGGCGGAATTGTCAGCTGGTGCAACCACTGTGGAAATCTGTGTTGAGACCTCTCAAAACACTAAGAGTAGAGGTTCCATTTGATCCCACTGTTTCCCTCCTTTGTATCTTCTGGAAACAATTCAGTGTATCATACGACAGTGATATATACACACTCATGTTTATAGAAGCACAGTTTGTAATAGCTAAATCTCGGAAACAGACCAAATGCCTATCAACCAATAAATGGATAAAGATGTATTTTTTTATACAATGGAGTACTGCTGTGCCATAAAGAAAGATAAACTCAAAACATTTCTAGGTAAATGGATGCACCTTGATACTACACTCTTAAGTGAAATAAATCGGACACGTGTAAATATCACATGGTTTCTATGGTGTGAGAAACCTAAAGGGTAAATAAGGACCAAAATGTATAACAATTATTGTGAAATGGGGATAAAATGTTCAAATCAGAAGAGAAACAAAGTCGGGGGCGGGGGAATGAACAAGAAAAAAAGAATAGAAGGAAAAATGGAAACAAAGCTCTTGTAAATAATGAGGGGAAAAGGGGCTGAAGGATGGGTACGAGAATGGGAAGAAAAAGAAGAGTCATCAAAATTCCGTATGATGACTGTTACGACTATATATATACAAAATGCACCCATACAGTAAAAAAGAGTTCATAGAGAATTGGTGTTAGTTTCCTAAACATTTGTTAGAATGTAACAGTGAAGCCACCTGGAGTTGAACATTTCTATTTTGGAATTTTATTTTTTGCTTATAACTCAGTTTTTATAATTATAGACAACTATAATTCATAATTCATTCTTGTTCTTGATCTAGATCAAACAATTGCCCCTTCGCTGGCTACGAGGGTGGGATTTTGTTGTTCTTATTGTGACGTTTTTTCTATTCTTATTTTTCTGATACTGAAAATTGAACTCAAGACCTATGCACTGAACTATATCTCAAGCCCTTCTTATTTAATTTTTGTTTTTGAGACACTTTCTTAGCTAAGTCACTAAATTGCTCAGGCTGTGCTTCAAGTTTTGGTCCTCCTGCCTCAGCCTCCCAGAGTGCTGGGATTAAGCCCAGCTCCTGTGTAAACTGATGGAGAGTCTGTAGGTTTTCAAGAGTGCTTAGAGCTGGGATTCTGGTTCTGAGCAAAACTCAGGTTACACCCTCACAGAGCTCGTCTCTTACATAGACTCAGCCACTGTTCCTGAGCAAATACTCCTCAGATTTTTGCAAGCTTTTGGTTAATTTCCAGCATATGATAAAATGCATTTGTCATCCCCTCCCCACTGTTCTCATTGCTTTGACAGAGGAACAGAGTTTTGGATGTTCTTATTCGGCCTTCTCACTTACATCCCTCCCAAAGGATGGGACACATAAAAAAGTATTCCTTTTTTATGTGTCATAATGGAAGTGAGTTTAGAATTTCATCCATTCCTAGACCCTAATTTTATGCACACAGCTAAGAACTCAGAAGATACAGTTTCTCTCTTTTGAAATCAGGAGGTCTCACAGCGTTCTCCACTTTGAGATCCTTAACAGTAGAGACCTTTTCTCACTCACTGTTGGCCATGGCACTCAGTACTGCATTTGGCACATGCCCAGTGTGGGGAAAATGCTAACTCATTCTTTGCCTCATCCCCCACCACCACTCACTGCCTGACCTGCAGTTTATAAATCCCCTGGCAGAGTAAAGATTTCTGAAGCCAAGAGTGGGCTGTGCCTGGGGCCAGATTCCATATCTCTGTCACAGAGAGATGCCAAGCAAACTGTCAATTACATGTAGAAATTTATCGACTCTGTAGTCTGAAAATACAATTTTTTAAAATCATTGACTGTCAGTCTGAGACAGCAAGGGAGTGCCTGAAAGGGGGTAGAACCATCAAATGCAGGGAAGGGACCATGCGTGGTTGGTGCTTTCACAGTGGAACCAAACAAGGACATAGATGGGATGGCACATGGGGCTCACATACAGCCCGGGAGTTAAAAACACAGCAGCCACAGCACATCCTACTAACATGACTCAGGCAAGGACTGGCCTCCCCAGCCTCACCCTGGCAGAGCTGACTAGTGAGCCGCCTGCAACTGCGCTCAGGACTCAGAAGGGACTGAACAGCCAGGACCCAGCACTCTGTGCAAGCTTAAATTCCTTATTCAAGAAAATACTCCTCGGCAAATACTCGTGGAGGACCTGGATGGGAACTTTTGGTGGGAACCTTTCTCCTCTAACTACCCCTTTTGTTTTTAGGAGAAGCTGCCTGCCTGACTTCCTGTTTGTCAGAATGATGGCTCCTTTCTAGCTCAAGCCGAAGTCCCCTTAAAATTTTGTTTATGCCCTATTCCTTTGGGTCCAGTGTCATTTCTACCCTTTCTAGACAAAAGAACTCAGCCCTGTTACCAAATCTATACTAACAGGTCTATTAATATTGATTGAGTTCACTTTCCCAAATCTCATTTACAATAATTATATTAATAATGAGAGTAAAAACCATTTAAAAGCCTGAATTACATTCTAAAATATATGAAAATGCTGATGAAGCCAGGTGTGGTGTCATAAGACTGTGATGCCGTCACTCTGAGAGGCTGAAGCAGGAAGATCAGAAACTCAAGCCCCTCTTCAGTACTATAGAACCCTGTCTATTAGCTGGCTGTGGCGGTGCACGCCTGTGATCCCAGCACTCAGGACACCAAGGCAGAAGAATCACTGTGAATTCAAGGCCAGCCTGGGCTACACAGTGAGCTCAAGGCTAACCAGAACTACATAGCAAGACCCTGTCTCAAAAAAAAAAAAAAAAGACCCTGAATCAAAAAATAAAATAAAGCTTTTTTTTTTTTTTAAAAAAAGGGCTAGGAATGTAGCTCAGTGTGAAGCCTTTAGGTTCAATCCCCACCACTGTAAAAACAACAGTAAAAATTGTTAATGAAGGGAGACTTTCTTTTGAGATGTTTTTCATGCCTTGTAATTCTTTGGTAGCTAATAAAGGATTCACTCATTGATTTACAAGTATTTATGGAGTATTCTGAGTATGCTGAGTGGTGGGAGTATAATGGTAACCAAGAGAAGCATGGCCTCCTCCCTTCCTAGGAAGCAAGTAACACCTCACAGCCAAGCAGATAATGAAAGAGGAATCACCAGAAAACCCCATGGAAATTCTAGATACGCAGACACCCACTGTCTATTGTAGCAGCATCAGTAGAACATCTGCTGGGATGCATGTGTTCTTAGGGGTTAACAATATTTTCAAACACTTTCCCCGTGCCCTGCTCCTCCTTTGGTCACTGGTGTGGACTTTTCATGCCAGCCATGGTCTCTTCACTTCCCCCATCTTTTCCATGTGTTTTGTTCTCCCTTACCCCCACGAGACAAGGCTGAGGGCATGGTCCCTTCTTTACGGAGTTCGTTCCCTAAATGTGGTGCACAGGGCACAATGCAGCAAGAGTCACAAGGATATAGGACAATTTCAGCGACTCCAGGATGTCCCGTTCCCCCTGAGACTTGCCTCAGAGAGCCAGGGACTCTGGCTAAAAGCAGCTACTCCTGGGAACTTGTTTCAAGTCTTCTAAGTTGTTTCTATATGGAAGTGAATGAGTTTATTTAAACTTTTTCTGAGAACAGGTTTTGAGTGGGAGAGAAAGAAAAATAGCCAGTGGAAGATAGCTGAAGCTATTGAAGGAAGAGGCACAAATAAAGTAAGGATGCCACTGTCACAAAGAGGGGGGTGGAGGATGCCACCATAACAGGGGAGGATGAGTCAGTGCTTCCAGCTGAACTGATTTTACTATACTGTTAAAGTAGGCTGCGGCGCTTCTTTAAAATTCTCTCTGAAATATCATATTGACAGGTAAAGTTAAGTACGCAAATGTCACTGACATAACACTTGGGATAGAATGATACTTGTGTTTTCTGAAACAATCTGGAGTCTCTCCCTATTCAGTGCCTCTGATATATTTCTGCCCTACAAACTGCATTCCTTCCCAGTCTTCAGCGTGAGGATTGCTCTTGAGATTCTGAGTGCGTAGTCCTAAATATTAAGTCCACTGACGAGTGGACTAAAAATTAAGATTAGAGAAGAACACAAGCAGATTTGAGAGTGATCAAAGAAGCACTGAGATTTACAGACTGAACAGAAGTTAACCAGTTATGTTACAGAGGAGGAGGCGATGGGCTCTGGCTTGATTAGAATACTGATTAGTACAAGATATGCTCACTGTATTCTGTTCCTTGGATATGTCAATTCTTACCTCTTCCACAACAACCTGGAGGTTTCTGTGCAAATATTCTCACTCTCCTCAGGAACCCAGTGCAGATTTTAATCATTAATTACTCTTTTAGTTTCTGTAGGACCATTGCAAGCATTTTTATCAATTTTAACTGATTAATTTTAATGTTAGATTTTACAGTCATATTAAACAATAATATAAAAAAAATCTTAAATTAACTCAGCATTTACATGAATAGCAGTTGCACGAAATTGCTCATGATACCATCCAACATAAAATATGTGGACATAACAATTACAGACCATCTGTTAAGTTGGCATCTTGTTGTACAGGAATGAAATTTCAATTAAGTTTTATTACTGGGAAGTGTAAATGACGGATCCCATATGAAAGTCCACAACCAGTGAATTGTCCTAGTAAAGAGTGGTTGTCACACAGTTAATGAGCTGGATCAGGCTCCTGATTACATACTTTGTAAATAAGGTGCTATTCACCAGCTTCTGGACATGGGTACTGTTTGGAAGGATAGTGGTTGTTTTTAAAGCGATGCCCATATGGAAGGTGAATTGAAACAGTCATGTGATATAGTCCAGAGTCGTCTGGTTAATGTATGATTCACCACTTTAGCTGGAGAGGCTGAAATTAAATCATGCATGAAATAAAGAATGCCTTGGAAGTGGAGAAATGAAAATCAGATTTCGGCTGTCTCTAATGAAGTTTGATTTGCTGGAAGCTGTGCATCAATGGCTTGTAGACAGTTTGTCACTTCTGAGGGACTGATGTCATGATGTAACAGGGTTTGGTTGTGGCTGTGAGTCATCCAGAAGGAAACGGACAACACTGTCAGCAGGTCTCAGGATAAGGGTCTAGACTATTAATCACAGAACAAATGGTCTTATAGTTTTAGCAGTGAAAGGTGTCACATAACATTGAACAAGATCCTCATTTTCTGACCTATCACTGTTACTAGTGCATATTACGCCAAGAAGAAAAAGAAACCATACCCAAATTCTAGCTGCTCAAGTAGTAATTTGGAGACTTGCCAAAAAGAAGCTTAATTTTCATCCCCATAAACAAGCCAAAAATAATCTAAAGTGGTTTCCCCTTAGTATAATTCTGAAAACAGTATATAACTAAGTAATTCCCTTGTGCATCATAGGAGGCAGAGAATACAGCTGTGGGCCCTTGGGAAGTCATCAAACTCTTTTGGACTTTTGCTGAGTAGTGTCTATGTGATTTAGTAGCCAGAACCTATGCAGCATTTACAAGAGGTATCTGCAAATGGGTAACTTGTCCCCTCCAGACCTTGACACTTCCTACCTCAAGGTTCCAGAATGGAACTGTACCCTGGGAAAGGAATTCTTCCATGGATCAATTTTATTGTTCAGTCACTCTTAGTTCTCAATGGAGAGTTGATTTTTCTTTCTTTTTTATTACCTTTTTAAAAAAGAATAAGCAGATTAAATGACCAAAGGAAACAAAAGACAGTTCTACTTGGTTTGAGGCTAGCTGAGCCCATGCGCTTCTTTGGAGGTCATCTCAAAAACACCCTTGGTAGTACTGGCACTGAAGCCAAGACCAGTGTGGAGCCCCAGAAGAGCAGACAAGCATTAGACAGCAGGTGAATTTTGACGTAATTATTAATTCTATAGTTTTTTCATGGAGATGTAATTTACAAACAGTGAAATGCACAGATCTTAAGTCCGCAGATCATTTTTGACAAATGATACACTATGCAATCCCCTATGACATAGTGACATACACTATGTCAATACTTTTCCCCCACACAAGGAAGTGCTATGTCCTGTCCTAACCAGTCCCTCTGCTCTCCTTTCTAGGCAACCACTGATCTGATCTCATAAGCACAGACTCATTTTCCTGTGGTGGATGTTGTGGAAGTGGAATCATGCACATGTGTGCAGCAAGGTAAGGCTTCCTTCACTCAGTAGGGTGTCTTCAAGATGAATCCATGTTGAACTTGATATATACAGAGGTACCTCAGTTCATGAACCTAATTCATTTCACAATTTTGGTGGTGAACTGAGTTGGCTACAAACTAAATCAAATTTCCCCATAAAGTTCAATGTAAATAAGGTTAATCTGTTCTGAACCGTATGTATTTTTTTAAACAACAAACATATGAAACAAAGTACAGTACAGCATGAAGAGAGAGAACACTTGATTGAGGTGACTTCTGGGATAGAGGACGGGAAGGTGGGTAGGAAGAAGTTATTGTTTGGAGGTAGCTTGCCCTTCCGTAAGGACATCAGTGAGATCTTCTGGGGTTTCCCCTCTTCTTTGACCCTCAGTGGCAGGGTCAGTTTTGATGAAAAAAAAAAAAAAAAAAAAAAAACCTGTCTAATGTCACTTGTTTTCTCCTATGCTGCATAACCTTACAGGAGTGAGAGAACACTTTATCATTCATCAGATTCAACCCTCTGCTAATTATAGTTATGTTGGAGTGGTGCTTCTCAAAGAAACCCTGGCACTCACTCCACTTTTCCATAATTGATTTTATCACATCATTGCCAACCTCCCCCCGTCTTCCTCTTCCTCAGTGGAATGCTCCTGGGCAAGCACCTTCTGTGGCTCACTGTAGAACTCAGCAAGTTCTTCCATCATTAGCTCCTCCTTATGGTCCTCAACAAGCTTCTCTGTATATGCACCATCAACATGCAGGCTCATACTCCTGCTCATGGACACAATGTCATCCACTACCTGTGCATCAGATCCTTCAGAGTCACATTCAGTGACACATTCTAGCCATAGCTTCCTCTGGGCTGAGTTTAAGGTCTGGTACATGAAATCTTCCCAGGCTTTGTCAATGAGGTTGATGCAGTGGAGGATGTCGAAATGTTTCTTTGAGAACTCTTTCAGAGCCAAAGACATCTCTTCAGTGACATTAAAACACTTGATGAAGAGTGCCTTTGTGTACAGCTTCTTAAAGTTGCAGGTCACTTGCTGGCCCATGGGTTGCAGAAGGGGTGTAACACGGGGAAGATTTGACCTTTCTGAAGACATACTCAGCATCCATATCACCTACTAAGGCTGGAGGGTATGCCAGGGCACCGTCCATCAGAAAAAGTTACATTTCAGGCAGTCGGCTGTCAGAAAGGTTTCCTAACACCTTGTGCAGCTATTCCATGAATAATTGCCTTGTGACCCACGTTTTTGCATTGGCCCTCCACATGTTGGGCAGTCTGGCCTTGTTCACATTCTGTTCTTTGAATGCACCAGGGGTCTGAGAATGGTCCACCAGTACTTGCTTAATCTTCAGATCAGCGCTTGAACTCCCACATAGCAAAAGGGTCAATCTGTCCTTCTTGGCCTTGTGTTCTGGCAGTATCTTTTCCTCCTGGATGATATAGGTTCTATTTGGCATCTTCTTCCAGAGAGCCCTGTTTCATTGCAGCTGAACACTAGGTGAGCAATGTATCCTTCTGCCTTCATAAATTCTGAGAATTCTTTCTTGTAGGCTTCTGGAGCAGCTTCTGCAGATCTGGAAGCCTCACCATGTCTTATCACACTGTGGATGCCACTTCTCTTGTGGAATTTATCAAACTACTCTCTACTGGCTTTAAATTCTTCACTTGTTGCACATGTAACAAGGAATTTTGTTGCAGTAAATCACTGTGCAATTTCCTGGCTTTTTCACAGACCATAGCTTCACTAATGCTATCACCAGCTAGCTGTTTCTCATTCAACCACACTGATGAAAGTTTTTCTGCCTCTTCCAGCACTTCTGTCCTCTGCTTGGTTAACATTGTTACTCGTTTTGCCACATCAGCTCCTTTGATGGCATCTTTATTCTTCAAAATAGTCAAAATTTTCAACTTTGCCATCTTGTGGTCTGAGGCCAGATCACACAAATACCACTCTCGTGCTTTTCTATTTTCTATTTCTTCTTTGATTTAAGGGTTAATTTTGTTAAAACCTTCTTCTTACTATTCTTGCTTTGTACTTTCTTGTCATCTTTATTACTACTCTGCATTTTCTTTGGAGCTATATTGAATAACACTGCACCGTACTGTATGTGCTAGAAAGCACACAAAGAAGCCTCACAGCAAGTGTGCACAAGTCTGTCTGCAACTGAGATCTTGACAAGAAAAAACCACGACCATGTCAGAGCACAAAACATGCTCACTTTCATGTTCACAAAGGAAAGATGGCCATGGTCGTGTTTATCACCTAATGTGGAGCTCACAAACAGAAGCAAAATTTTGCCCAATGCCCCTGTTCACAAACAAAATTATTTGTGAACAGAAGCATTCATGCAGCGAGGTACAATCAGGAGTTAATTTTTATCAGCGAGTGCTATGGTTTACACAGGATTTCACTGTGGCTCTCCAGAGGTCCTCATGTGGTGACAGTGAAATGACAAAACCTCTAAGAGGCAGGGCCTAGAGGGAGGTCCTTAGGATGTGCTGTAGGGAGGTAGTGCTCATAACACCCTGCACATTCTTGGGAGAAGGTTGCTTGTTGCAGAAAGAGCAAGGTTCACCCTTCTCATGGCATCTTTTTCCTTGCTCAACCTCTTGCTGTAGGCAATCCCAACATTCCTATTCAGGGTGTGGTCCCAGGGGATGGCCCCCACCAGAGCCTTTGCTGTCCTTAGACCTCTCTTCCTGACAAGCACCTTTTCTCTGGTATTTCATAACAGTGACACAAGCTGACTGCTATAAGGAGTGTGTGCTGTTACATAAATACACCAACAGAGAGCTCACCTATTTTTCTGTCAAAAGACTCCTGATGGATGGAGTGTGATCAGCTTCTTGGGCCAATTCTCTGGTGAAACAAGTAAAGCTAGTGAAAATATGAGCAACATACAAACAACAATTGAGCATCTCTGAGTTTTTCTAGCAGCATAAAGCAAATGAAGAAACATTGTTCAAAAGAGTGCACTAAAATTTGGTGAAAGCAGCACAACTCCATGATGTTGGAGCCACAATCTGATCCTTCCCTTCCCATCACCTTCCCCTCAGCTTGGTTGAGCAGATGCTCCTTGGGAAGGCTGGCTCCTGTCTTCTAAGTTCCATCAAGTATTATGGATTCTCCTTGGCTGGAAGTTCTCCTGTTAGTCAGCTTTGCATCACTGTGACAAAATGCATGATGTAAATTAACTTTAAGGAGGAAAGACTTATTCAGGCTCATGATTTGAAAGGTTTCAATCCATGGTCAGTTGACCCCACTGCTTTAGGCCTGTGGTGAAGGCAGAAATGTCAGGGTAGAAGGGTATAGTAGAGCAAAGCTGCTCACCTCATGGTGACATAAAGCTGAGAGAGAGCCAGACAGAAAAGGGCCAGGGACAGGATATAGCCTCCAAGCTCAAGTCTCTATGATCTATTTCCTTCTATTAGAACCTACCTCCTAAGGCTCCAGCTCCTAAGTTTCTACAGCCTCCCAATAATGCCATCAAATTATGTCTTGTAAATAAAGTGACCAGCTGGTGAAGTTAGAGCCCTCAGGATCCATTCACCTTCCAAAAGTCCCACTATATACATGAGACTATTGAGGCAAATTTTATATCAAACCATGACAGAGAGGCAGACAGCTATCATCTCTCATTCCTTCTAGCTCCCAGTTAAAGAGCTAGAAAACCTGATAAAAGGCTAAATTCTGGTTCCCCTATGAGGTGGTGGGCTATCTCCTTTATCTGGTCAAATCCCATAAGATGGAAGCGCTCTCCCAGATAAACTGAAAATACCGAGATCCTTTTGCCTCACCCCAGTTTGGTAACATGGCAAGGTTCAACATGAAGAGACAAGCGCCAAGGGGACAGGGGCTGCCTCCCAGCCAGTGTGCAAGCAGGGAGAGCAGCTCAGATGTTTCGTCGCTGGAAAGAGAAGCAAATATCATGAAGAGAGTGCCAGCACTTCTCAAAGGACTCGTGGCTTGAAACCATGAAAGGAAATTCACACTGGAGTTTATGTAGAAAATAATAGCTCCTCTCTAATTAATAGCAGCAAGTTCAGAATGACTTTCAATGAATCTTACTTTTATCACCATCTGCCCCAGTCAAATGCATGAATAATGCCAGAAACTGCTGAGGGTTTTCCTAATATGGACACTGATGTAGATAGTAAGTAGTGTTCTCTTAAAGCTTTTTCTGTCCTGACCAATGTCATCACTTAGTATTTATTTGGTTTTAAATAAAAACCAGAGATTGGAGTGGGTAAGGAGTGACAAGTTAGATCAGAGGCTGCTTAGCACACTATGAAGTAATATTTACTTTAAGATTTGGGATGGGATATGGGGCTAGCAGAATTATTGGATAATTTCTACCCTCTCAAATCCTAACTCACAAAAGAATAGGTCATTGCATCTTGCCCTGTACAGAAAGGCTTTGTCATAGAACTTCATGTCAGGGCACCGAAAGTGGTTACTAAAGTAAAACCAGAGACTCAAGAAATTGCAAATTGCACGAAGAAATCCAACTAGTACTCTAAAATCCTGCATTGAAATGAGGCAGGCAAGAGAACTGCAACCATATAGGACATGTCTTTGCTCACCATGAGGGTACACTGGAAGGAATAGTGGAATCCGCTCCCTCATTCAGAAAGAGTGAGCACCCATTATGTACCATGTACTGGCCTGCCAAGGGGGATGCGTAGTAGTAGTGTTTCTGGTTTGAATTTATACTTGTGTGGCAAATGTGTGGGGCCTGTAGGAATTTTTAACTTTGGTTAATTTATCTGAAAACCCATTACTTTCCTTAGTGAAATGAGTGAAAGTTTCTGGTGTTTTATCCCTGGGACAGAGATAGTTCTGTGCTTCTCAAGGAAAACCCATTTTGGAGAATGTTAACATTCTAGAACCATGGGAATATTAGAAGTTATTAAGAATTGGATTTTAAGTTGGGTGTGGTGGTGCACATACTTTGGGAGGCTAAGGCAGGAAGACTGAAAATTCAAGCCCAGCCTTAGCAACTTAGTGACATAGTGAGAACCTGTCCTCAAATAAAAATCTAAGATAAAATGACAACAGATTTGTCATCATGAGCTATGCAAGCTAGAAATAAGCTGAATCTTTAAAGTTCTGTAATAAATAGTTTGTCAAGCAGAAAGTATTTACTCATGATAATAATGATACATAAAATATATACAGGTTTAAATCTAAAAATAAATATAAATAATAAAAAATTGTATTGGAGATGCAGCTCAGTGCAAAGGCCTTGAGTTCAATCTCCAGTTCTTAAAAAAACAAACAACTGCAATTTATTTTTTCTGTATATTATTTATTTCCTGATTTTGCTGAGATTCTTTTCTTCCTTTTTTCCTTTCTTATTTTCTTCATCCTTCCTCCTTTCTTTTTTCTTTACTTCCTTCTTCCTCCACCCTTCTTTTCCTTATTATCTTTCTCTTCCTTTCTTTCTTCTGCATACATTTCCTCAGTCCTATTCCAGAACTCTTTCAGCCTCAGAGAGAGAAGAGCTGCACCCCTGTGTAGTGAATGAATCTGGGCTCTTTCTAAGGGCAAAGGAGATGGCAAGAAAGTGAACAATCTTCAATCACAGTCAGCAGAAAGACTTTGAGAACAGTCAGGCAAGAGCTGGTTAATTCTAAGAACATTCTCCCAATTTTTATGAGTGGCAGAAAAAGAGAGAGAGTGTATATCTGTGAAACAGACAATAATATAGTACAGTAGAGGATGGTGAATTGAGCTATGAAACTTTTGTCTTATCTTATAATTGGGTGTAGTTTAAAATGTAATGATTCCTGTGGGATTAGGTATTTCATTCCATTTTGTATACTGAGTAAGCAAACTCTTGTAAATGGGGGTGCAGAA